TCACATTCACAACCACACCTAGAACATTTCAAGCATGTTTCAATGCTACATCGTTTTACTTTATATTTATAGCCCCATGTTGGCTCTCATAGCCTCGGGTCAGGTCCAGCGACCTTGACCAAACGTCTTCTTTTCGTCTAATGACTCTAATCAAATCAACCCAAACTTTTCCAGAATGACTCATTTTTGGGTACACATTAAGATGCCGGTCTGGCTCGTGTGGCAGACATTAACTAAAAGATAAATAAAAATTGGGAATTTAAAAACTTATAAATAGGGATCGTAAAAAAAACGTAAGCAAATAAGGCTGAAAATACTGTAGACATTATTTACTCAAATCCCTATTTTGGCCCCATACTGTTACCTAGAATTACATTCGGTGGATTCAAAATAGGGATTTGTAGTTTGAGTAAATAATGTCTACAGTATCTCCTGCCTTATTTACTTACTTTTTTTACGATCCCTACTTGTAGGTTTTAAATTCCCAATTTTTATATATTTTGTTTGCTGGCTTTTTTTTATGCTCAGCTATGGGTATAGGCTTATTTGATATGGTAACTAACTTTATACATTGTAATGATAATAAACATAGTTAGCAGCTAGGTGACGATTTACTGTAACTATTGGCTATTTGATCGCATTAGTTCGAGATGTAAAATGTTAAGCTGCAGCTGGAGATTTGTTTGAGAATATAGTGAGCATTTATAGTTTCTATGTAACTAAATTCTCTATATATAATGCATAGCAATGGGCAAATATATGTCTAGACTAAGATACAACCCCCACTAATCAGATGTAAAATTTTACCAGTAAAAAAGCAGCCTTGTAAAAAAAACAAAAATATATACGTCTAAATCACCGCTTTAAGTAAACCATTGTGTCTTTTAAAGTAATTATTCTACGAATGTGTGCAATAAAATTTAATATTATGTGTATTGATTTTTTTACTCCTTCACTTCATACGTATTATAGGGGTTGGCTCCCAAAAGACACAAACTGTATAATGTACAAAGCTTGAGTATTCTACATGTTACAGCCATCCAATGTTCATCTATTATTAGCTGGTAATTCCTGTTTCACCCTGTACTTAAGCTTTTTAAAAAAACACCAGATATTTGTAGGAAAGCTATCTTCAAGGGGGAGGGGGGGGGGGGATTGATAACATCGTTTACACTAGAATTACAATGTTTTAGCTTATGTAAGATATAAAAGAAACGAACAGTCTTTTTAATGCCCCTACGACCTTCACAGTACCTTATTTAGTATTCTACAAAAGGTTTGGGTGCAATACACCAAGCCGTGTTTGTTGTAGGCTAGCAAGTAAATAATAATAATATGAAGAATTAGAAACGAGCCGTTTTGTGAGGATTTTCTTTTCAAGTCCAACTAACATACACACCTTTTTGTGCATTTTTACATGTGTACAGCCTTAGCAGCCAATAATAAAGGTTTTAAAGCGTTGTTTGAACTGAATCTTTACTGTTTAAGGTGCTTTTTGCCCGAACGCCCCATTAGGTTTTATTTTTTGCAATTCCTTGTGATTTCTATTATGAACCATTATCATGGCTCATGATAAATAAAATAAAAATTCGTATAATCGCGAGTTCGTCATTAAAAACTTTAGATTAGATGTGTATACAACATTGGCAACTTATAAAAATAAAACAACTTGAAAATTAAAAAAATTATAAAAAGAAATATAAAAAATGTAGATCAATTGGTGTTTGTGTATAGATCTAAATGTCTCCGAGGGCCAACGGTAGGTTTATGTACTTAAAACGCTAAAATCCGGGGTTCGATTCGCCGCGTTAGACACAGCAGATGGCCCAATGTAGCCTTGCTCTAAAACAAACAAACGGACTTTAGCCCGTGTTCCTGACGCAGGTGAATGTCACGTATACCTACTGCGTGTTCAGTGGGTTTTCATCACTGTTAATCTAAAAACCCTTCGCCTCTAACCCTCTATTGCACATTGTAACGTAAAAATAAGACATTTATCTTTGTTGCTTAATACACGTACAAGTGCTTCTGTTCTGAATGCTTTTACTTTCAGGTTAACAGTCTAAATCAACCATGGAACTATTTTTGTTGGTTACTCAATTATAGGTAAGTTACCCATTTATAACTTAAAAATATATTTTACAAAAACATGTTTTTTTGTGCAATATAGATCTATTTTGATCGCATTAGTTCGAGATGTAACTAGATGTTTCTAGCGAAACCACAGCCAAGTGAACGGGCTTGGAAAAATAATACGACCTTCACAAACATCAACTTTGCAGTATTATGTTTTTGATACTACATAGGAGACATCTATGAAAGCTTCCATTTTATTACTCTTGCGAGTCTTATGTAAGAAATTGTTTTGTTTTTTTGTTTTTTGAATTTCGCGCAAAGCTACACGAGGGCTATCTGTGCTAGCCGTCCCTGATTTAGAAGTGTAAGACTAGAGGGAAGACAGCTAGTCATCACCACCCACCGCCAACTCTTGGGCTACTCTTCTACCAACGAATAGTGGGATTGACCGTCACATTATAACGACCCACGGTTGAAAGAGCGAGCATGTTTGGTGTGACGGGGGATTCGAACCCCCAGACCCTCAGATTGCGAGTCGAGCACCCTAACCACCTGGCCATGTAATAAATAAAAACATTTTTCCATCGTATTTCCATAATGCTGCAATAGAAGGTTCAAATGACATTAAATAAAACAGAAGTTGAAAGGTCATACCATAAAAAAAACGATGCCTTGATACCAATGTAGAGCTTTAAACTAAACTCATGCGACAGTCAGGAAGGAATCTTTTCTAATTTATTGTTATCAAAATCAAAGAAATAATGGAGGTCAAAATAGCAATTTAGAACATTCACCGTGAATGTAGACTCCAACACAATACAATAAATTGTAATAATACTATCATTAGTATTATTTTCTAACACATTTTATTTTTTTATTATTGAAATAACTTTTCTCCCGACATTCCTGGGGGGGAGTGCCCCCTTGCCCCATCCTGCAAAGGCTCATGGTAAGTACTCAGCAGTAATTTTTTTTTTGATAATGATTAATTAATTAAACTATTATTGAATATTATTTATAAATATATTTTGTCAGTTATTAATTGACTGGTTACAATTTATTTATTTGTTTTTGATACTACATAGGAGACATCACTGAAAGCTTCCATTTTATTACTCTTGCGAGTCTTTTTGTTTTTGCAGTACAATACAAGCTAGTATTATTCATTGGGAGCTATTACTGTTAAGAAATGACAATCCTTGGGTGTGAATTGTATCATGTCAAGACATATTTTTGTATCAGGAGCTTTGACCCTGAAGCTGCCTCTGCTGGAAGTTATCTACCATGACCGTGACGACTTTTTTGTTGTTGTTGTTGTTTTCTTATTTTGCGCAAAGCTAAATGAGGGCTAACTTGGTCTACTCTTGTCATACAGAATAGTAGAATTTGACCGTTACCATTATAATGCGTTCACGACCCTCAAAATGGATGAGTGTGATTTTTTCGGGTGGGGGGGGGGCAGTGTACATGAATATTGTTTTCTTATTTTGCGCAAAGCTAAATGAGGGCTAACTTGGTCAACTCCTGTCATACAGAATAGTAGGATTTGATCGTTTACGACCCTCAAAGTGGAGAGAGTAATTTCTTCGGGGGGGGGGGCAGTGTACATGAATCATGTAACCTCAGCTACACATTCCGACACGCTAATTTATTTGTTTGTTTGAAATTAAGCACAAAGCTTCACAATGGGCTATCTGTGCTCTGCCCACGAGTATCGAAACCCGGTTTCTAGCGTCGTAAGTCCGCAGACATACCACTTTGCAACTGGGGGGCGACACACTAATAACTCAGTCTTTGATTGTGACTATGCTGAAAATCAGTTGGACCACAAATAACTATTAAAGTAAAACTTTTAAGCGAACTCCGGTAAAAAAATAATAATAGTAAATAATAAATTGATTTTTAAAGTGCCCCTTGTGAAATAATTAAGAACAAATAAAAAATATTCCATGGGATGATCATTACAATAAAAGTAAAACAACGCGTATATAAAGGGCCGTCTACAACAATTATCACAAAATTACAGTACGTACTCACAAACACAGTGTATGTACACTAATGTCAATTTTAAAGTAATGACATGCTCACTGGTCAATTTGGACCTTCGTCTCAATTCAGGTTGGTTTATTGATTTGTGGTGGGACTCCCTACTCAAAGATAACGAAGTTTCTTTGATCTTTATTGTTATTTTTTACCAATTTTATTGAGGTTACTTCGCCATTCTTTTTTTCAAGTCGCTCCAAAATTATTTCTCATAGTCGTATTATCATTTACTGATAGCAAATTATACAGCTAACTATACATTTTCTGTACTTTTATTACATTTTTTGTAGTCTCATTCTCATACGTGTATATATATACCATAATTATTTTTCTCCAGAGTTACTGTACTGTAAAAGATTAAATATATAAGAAACTTGAGTTGGTCTCTCTCACACACACAGAGCTACTTGTGGAAAGAAAAGGGCACAAAATACTAGTCAAAATGGCAGGAAATGATATTCATTTTCTTTGTCAAAACAAACTTTGGGGGGTGCATAATTGCCCCATACAGTTTGTAAGCTGGTGAAAGATGTTAACAATTGTGAAGTTCAATAGGCTGATCTTTGAAACAATAGCAAAAAGAGTCACATAGGTTACAAGTTTCAATGAATTGGATTTTTATTACAAAGGCTAGTTACATACAGTTCCCTTTGACCCAATTTACAAAGCGCTAACACAGCTGCCTAACATGTATATCTTTCGAACAAAAGACTGTATAACTATTACAGTATGGGTGGGCAGTGCTAACATCGACACTCACGAAAAAAAAAATAATCACTAAATATTAAATTCAACAATGAAAAATATGCAGCAAACATATTTAAATATAACGTGATATATATATATATATCACATGTGGCTGATTACTAAGTAGGATGTACTTTTTTTTTTGACAGCTAAATACAAAACCAGTGTTTATATTTAAACCACCGGGATAATCACAATTTTCACTTTGTGTTTTTCTACTTTCATTTCATGTTATGAGTACAATAGTTCCAAACTCATTTTCTCAAATATTGTACAGGTTGGCTTAATTTTAATTCCAAAATGCATAAGATGGCAAAGCATCTGTGAACAGTTTAAGTGTGTATGTTTATGCTTAGAAAAAATAACAAGTAAAAAGTTTTAGTTTATCTCTATACATAATTAGGACAACATTCTTACCAAGGTTCACCTTTCTTAATCATTTAAACATATGCCACTCCCATACCTTATACGCAACAAGCTTCTTTTTCAGTAATCAAGATTATTATAGCATAGAAAATAATGATGACTAAATTTCCACTCAGATGTTTCTACTGTTTCTTTGGGAAACTTCAAACTTGTTAATAAGACACGTATTCCTATCTTAAATACGAGTACTAATGAATGATGTCTTTGGAAGCTACATCTAAACTGAAGTTTCAGGGTAAAAACAAACATCCAAATGTCTTGTATACCAAAATAACAATCTAGATGGCACAAACTTGGAGTTTGTTGGAAGTAAAAAGTATATAAATACGCTACATTTTACCAGATTGACCTGGCAACTTCAGGCCATGGTATGTCAATCACCTGAAGATGCCAAGTAAACCTGGTGAAAAGTAGAGTATTTATATGCTTTTTAGTTCCAACAAACTTCAAGTTTATGCCACCTTCGTGGTTAGTTTAATATTTTTTTCCAGTTACGTCATTATATCTAGCCTTATATACCAGTTCCATGTACATAAGAGCTACAGTGTCGGTGATACATGACAGGATACAAAGGTTAAACCTAACAACAAGCTTAAGTTTCGTGTTTGTTTTTTATTAAATTTTATGAAAAAAATAAAGTCTGCTAAATAAATTAGGTACATTATACCTTTACACGTGTTTACTAGTAATGACACATTTGGATGAATAGCAGTATACTAATTCACAAAAGCCACAATTGCACTGACAGGTCACCAACTATACACACGACGAAAAAAATTCTACCCTCAAATTTTAGGACATTCTTGTACAAAACAACTTTAAGGTAATCCAAATCTCATTCAACATACTACCTGTCATAGAACATGATTAAATATAAGTTTTGTGATATGAAGTACAAGAATGCATAACATTTTATATTCAGAGATGTTAAAAATAGGTTTGTATAATAATTCCTGTCTTCACATTTAAGTGGTAAAGTTTGTCTTTGTTGGCAATATGTGGATTAAACTGCTCAATCTAATAATGGCAGATAGTTGTCATAACCTTATTACAATAACAAGAAAGATGACAATGTACTGTAGAATCACAGTTGATCATTATTAATAATTATCGATACATTTACATGACATCAAGTACAGTTTAATCTCAAATGCATCGTGGAGTCAATTTCCAATAAGGAAATTACAAAATTAACTTATAACATGACCATAATTTTTTTTCTAATTCAACACTTCCAATAGTTCATGGTATGGACTTATAATCAAGAAATACTTTTCAGAATACTGAATAAAAAAAACTTCATTTAATTGTCCTGTATAGTGGTAATCTGTCAGAAAAAGGAAAGTAAAAAAATTTAAAGAGTCAAACACTGGTATGTTTAGGTTGACATTTTGAAACCACCTCATCACAAGCAATAATTCTTGTTGTAAAAATATCTGCAAATGTCTTTCTTTTGTAGGTTAGCCAGATTAAACCAGAAGCAATATTCTATATTATATACACACTACCAGACAAGCATCAGTTGAATAACACAACTTTCATTGTATGTAAGACTGACATGAAACAAGAATTCCATTTTTTAGACATATATAGAAAATATGGGGATTGATTCGTCACAAGTGCATGCACTTTCATATGATTATTTAAATCAGAATTACTTTCTCATCTGATCTTGTTATTGATCAGTTATGGGGATTGATTCGTCACAAGTGCATGCACTTTCATATGATTATTTAAATCAGAATTACTTTCTCATCTGATCTTGTTATTGGCAAATAAAAATTAGGTGCCAAAAAAAGGGACGTGCCAGTAAAGAGTTTTCTTAATTACATGTAAAGGGCTTTCAATAAAACAGAGACCTAATATTAAAAAAAAAACTATTTTTAGAGTAATAATAGCATTTATCAATAAATTCACGAGATACTATGTTTTCATTACTTTTCACAGAGAGTAAAATAAGATAAACTTACAAACAAGTACTCCTATGAAATATTAGCCATCAATTACTTTTGTGCTAAGAATAAAAGAAAGAAAATTCTTCATGTTGACAGTGGCAAAATAAAAATAAGGTCACAATAACTTTTACATGATACTCCAATGATATCTAAAAACTTAACTTTATCATGTTTATTATCATTCAGAGTAATTTACTAATGCCATTTTAACAACCTTCACTAGACAGTACTGCAAATAAAGCAGAAATTAGTGTAACCTTATCATAACAATATATAACTGAAATGGTCGCTGCTGTCTACCCATATTTACACTCATCAACAATACCAAATATAAACAAAACATTACCTTACTCAGGTAATACAGATTCAACCAGACATACTTGCATTGGCTAAGAAAAAATACATAATTAATGAGTTCAAGGGACCCAAGAGGTATGCAAAAAGATTACAAAACAACTTCAGGAAGAAAATTTCCAGCAGTATTTAATATTCTGTTATACTGGGCAATCTAAAGCTAACAAAAGTTAATGCTATCTAATTATGGTTATACATTATGCATGTCTTAATTATAAATAATAATAAAAAATAGGCACATCTCCTTGTATTTAGTTCTGTTTTTCCTTAACTAACATACATACACTTAACTGAAACACATGCCATTCAGGTCAATACAAAAAACCAAACTGCAGCTTTTTAACACAAAGATTAACGAGACCAATACTAGAAACTCCTAAAGTACTTTTTTTTTAAATACACAGCACTTATCAGTTAGCATAAGAAAAATTTGAACAGTGAATAACAAAGAAAATCCACGATCAGATAATAACAGTTAATTCAGTTAACTTAATCACATGCATTAAGTATTGCATATGTCTGGTCATACTTTCAAGAGAAAATTTATTCCACATCTAAGATCTTCTGAAAACACAAGTCAAAAACAGAAAAAAAAATATATTAGCAGATACGAAGTTCTATTTTTGTTTCATTTCTTTAAAAAATACATACATATGTGGAACATAACATAACATAAAATGGTTTTTGAAAATGAAAGTTTGCTATAACAAGCTTGTTCATTATATTAAAAAAAAAAGGTTACTGTTAAACTGTATTGGTTTATAAAAATTGCTTTGGGAAGATGAAGCAGTGTAAGTTCACTTGGTTAAATGCAGTAACTGTTCAACAGAAATGATATAGTTGCTTAAACAAAAAATGACAGTACCACTAACAGTGATGTGGAAGAATATACTCTCGAGTCTTATTGTCACAATAAAGAATAAAAAAAGCAATGGACAGCTGCAACTACTGTGAATAAATTCTCCTGCTGGGCATGACAAAAAAAAAAAACAATACCTCTTGAAGTATCTACAGGTTTATATGAAAGTAAGATGTGACCAATCACATCCTACAATTACTCTCAGCCACATCTAAGTGTTAGTTGGACGTACAAGGTCTTAAAACAACCTTAACATTTTATCAGGAAACTAAGGTTTTCCAGAGTTCTTTCTTTCTTTCTCTGCCCGGCTTGGATTTTACACTAAGATATGAAAGAAACACAAATGGACAATTAGGTGTGTTTCTACTAGTTTTGTACAACAAAGATCCAGCTTTACTCAAGCAGGGGCAGATCACAACAGAAGAAAAATACACACTTACTAAAAAAAAAAACAACAACAACAAACATTCACAAAAATACACAACCAGACCTGTCTGAAATCTTGAATTGTATGCAGAAATTTCAATGTTACCATATCGCACAGAGACTGCCCAATGACAAAGATAACAACAAAGGCCTTTAACATGATTTAAATTTACCCACATCAATAACATATGCACCGGGATTATGAATATACAAAAAAATAGCCTTCTTAACACTATCATTCATACACTGAATTTACAAATGAATATCATACTTCTTCTTCTCTTTACTAACACAATAAGAGAAAAGAAAATTACAAAACGTTCACTTGAGAGGCGTAACTTTGATATAGCACACGTAGATCAAAACTTCTGAACTGACAACTTTTTAATAAAATATCTTTGATCTGCCCCTACTGAGGACCTTTTTTCTCCCTATCAAATACATGAGACAATATATATGCTAAACAGACACTTTGAACTTTCCACAGTCAGAGCTTAGTGGTCAATATTATGTCCAAGTGCACCACTGCTACCGTGGAAGGAAAACTGCTGGAAGTAAGGCTGTTCCATTTCTTCAGAGATGGAATTAAGGGGACCATGATCCGGTGGAGTCAGCTCCACTGTTTCCCCAGTAAACTCTTGATCAAAGTAACGTGTATCCGTATCTGATGTCACTTGTGGCTTGAACGGTGGTGTAACCTGATCACAACCAGAAAATCAACAAATAGTAAATTTGATGACAATTTCTGCATGATGAAGATTAACGATAGCAGGAATAAGTATATAACAACATACATTTCCAAACTTTTCTCAATGATTCAGTAATGACAAAAATTATAAAAATTCACATATTGAAACAACTGATCTGATGAATATTAAAATTTAAATATTTTGATTTTATACTATGGGAACAAAATCGGAATAAGATAAGCATAAAAATGTTTTCCCGACCTTCTTTTCCAGCAAATCCTGCCAGTTAATTGCACGATAAAATGGGTGGATCATGATCTCTCTTGCATCGTCCTGCCCTCCACCAAGTCTGCACAAAAAAATTGCAATATTGTACAGCTTAAAAATCTTGTTTACTGGTTATAAAGACTTAGAAAAAAAATTAGAAAATGTGTGTTTACTGTATTCTAATTTACTACATTGAAAAGTGTCTATAATAATAATAATAATACCTAAAAATAAAGTTAAAAAACAGTTACAGAGCACAATATCTATCTTGCTTTGATAATGCATTATCAGGTACAATTTTAGCTATTTTAATAAATTAAAATTAAATTATATTGAAATAATTTAAGATAATTAAAATGCAGCAAAGATTAAGATAAAGTTAAAAAACAGTTACAGACAACGATATTTATCTTGCTTTGATATGCATTATTAGGCACAGTTTTAGCAATTTTAATAAATTATCTATGGATAACCAGTCACCTACTATAATCTCTAAACTCAATATTGTCTACCTTATGTATTTTCATAGAAGGAAACTTTCATAGTTTTCAAACAAATATAATTTAACACAAAAACGTTTTCAAGAATGAAAATAACAAACTTAAAAAATCCCAGATTGTAGAGTGTTTCCAGGTCTTCTAAACTTCTACTACATTCTGTTGTTGTCCTCTGAATTTAGGGGCTAAGTCTTGAAACTTTCACACAAAATCATAAATTACTTTTCAAACCACTTTATTCACTCTACATTGATGTAAATAGCTTATAATCTGCTCTATCCAATGGTTGTTGAGCTTTGCCTTTAGTTATTTTGAAAGCTGAGTTTCATTAGTAGTTGTTTAAACATTGTTGTGAGGTCATAAAAGGGGGTGTGAACTGAGAGGCTGTATTAATAAATTAAGAAAAAAAACAGACGGAAAGTCATACGAGAAACAAATCCTTGAAATTAGAATCTTAAATCAATATCTTCTAGCAAGTAAAGCTTATGCTTTGAGATGGACAGAAAAATTCTAAAAAAAATCAATAAGTGCACTGTTTACTGGTGAGACTTCTCAAAGCTGCACAGAAATGTATGTTTTAAATTTTCTTTTTCATTCTTTTTGCAAATTACATTAAGTAAATGTTAAAAAATGGCAAAATACCAATTCTAAAATATTTATGAGTCAAGCATTGATGAAATAAGGTTAGAAGTACTATATAAATATACTTCAATCTCAATATTTTATATGAGAGTGAGTATTCAACACCTGAAAGGTGGTTATCAGCCCAAAAAAGGGTTAAAACGTGTATGCTGAGCTGTTGTTGTTTTTTTTTATTAAGCACAAAGTTACACAAAGGGTTATCTGTGCTCTGCCCACCACGGGTATCGAAACCCAGTTTCTAGTGGTACAAGTCAACGGACATATTGCTGTGCCACTGGGAGGTACACTGAGATGTAAAGTTTTGAGGTTATGTTAGGCTTATGTATATTTGAAACTAGTTACTTCCTTCAATTTTCTAGTATAAAGTAACAATTAAATAAACCAACCAATTTACTTATTTACTTGTTGCATGAGAAGTAAGGAAAGGAGCATATATTTGAAGACTGTGAAGTCTAACAAGTCACTCATATCGAATTACCTAATTGTATTTCTTAATATAACCTCTAAAAATAAAGGGATTGTGTTTGTTTTGAATTTCGCACAAAGCTACAAGTGGGCTATCTGCGCTAGCCGTCCCTAATTTAGCAGTGTAAGACTAGAGGGAAGACAGCTAGTCATCACCACCTACCGCCAACTCTTGGGCTACTCTTTTACCAATGAATAGTGGGATTGACCGTCACATTATAACGCTCCCATGGCTGAAAGGGCGAGCATGTTTGGTGTGATGGGGATTCGAACCCGCGACCCTCAGATTGCGGGGTCGAGTGCCCTAACCACCTGGCCATGCCGGGCCTAAACATAAAGGGAAACAGAAGATATTATATTATTTTTAGTACATGCAGTATAAAAAATAATTACCTCTTTTTGGGATCTTTAACAAGAAGCCCACTTAGCATACTTTTTGCTTCAGGAGACAGATTTTTGGGGAACTTTACTTCTTCAACTAATATGAGCTCAAACAGAATATCATGGTCACGATTGTAAAATGGTAATCGACCACACATCATCTCATACATGACAACTCCCAAGCCCCACCAATCAACTGCTCTACCATAGTCAGTGTCTTCCAACACCTGGCATATGATTAGTAAAAAAAAAGTATACTTATTATTATTATACTCAAAATTATTTGGAATTTTTTGCTTTTTTATGACAAATCATGTCTGGTTCATACCATAAGGCCCTTATTTTAATTTCTAACATAATGTCAAAAAGATTTATTGTAATACAACAACCATATATGGAGAATTTAAGCTTCTACTCTTCTTACTGTATAAACCATATTAAAACAAACCAAGAAAATGCAAGAGAAAAACCTCAATAAGCCTGTTAAATCTATATAACTAAGATACAATTTTTAATAGATTGTTTGAAATGTCTCACTGAGAAACTTTCCCACCCATCATAATGAAGGTTTCCTCCAGGAATTCTTCATACACACACAAGAGATGACATTTATACATACACAGTTTGTTCAGTAACAATGGGAAATTTCAGACTACAAAATGGATCCACATTTGCCACCAAGTTTTAGGTTATATAGCAATTTGCTTATTATTACCAAAAAGTTTAGTTTAGGGTTAGAAAAAGCATAAATAACTGTATTTTTCTTTTTCTTGTGTATAGTGATCAATGCTTAGTTTATGGTAAGCAAAATCATAAAAGACTGTTTTTCTATTTCTTTTTAATATTTGTAAGGCATCACAAGTGGAAATATTTTGATCGTAATTTATTTTTAGCACTAACACTGTATAAATTCACTGTAAATAAACACTAATCAACTATGTAATAGGATTTATATAAAAACCTGAAAACAGTGTTAGTGTTATTATAAAATTTATAATCACAGATATTCAAATTGTCATAATCAGAAAACAGGTTAACTGAAATATTTATTTTTCTCAGGTTAAAACATCAGCTTTAGGTATTTGTAATACCTGTTAATCTCTAATTATTGGACTCAGAAAACTCAAACAATGAACCAACCTCTGGTGCTAAATATTCAGGTGTTCCACTAGTAGAGATGCTGAGTTTTGTGCATACCTAGACTTTTAAAGAAGTTTTCGAATCTCTGCATCTGAAATGTAAACAAATATCAGTTAAAGAACTGCAGTTCAGATAACACGAATAGTACAAACAAAAACTTTTTTTTTTATCTAATCGTAAAACATTTTCTAGTAATAATTTACACTATTATGTAGAGTTCTTAACAATAATTGATACCAAAATGTTTTGCAATATTGCCCAACCAAACATAGTTTAATAAGTAGTGTTATATCTAGATCTTGAACACTCATTTTTCTTCCATTTCAGTTGGAGAATTTGCTCTTAGATAAAGAAGGACACATAAAAATAGCAGACTTTGGGCTTTGTAAAGAAGACATATGCTATGGTGCAACAACAAAAACATTTTTTTAAGTTGTAGTGGAGATGCTGAGTTTTGTGCTTTCAAGTATGTTTAAGTTGTAGTGGAGATGCTGAGTTTTGTGAATTCAAGTATGATTAAGTTGTAGTGGAGATGCTATGTTTAAGTTGCAGTAGAGATGCTGAGTTTTGTGAATTCAAGTATGTTTAAGTTGTAGTATTTTGTGAATTCAAGTATGGTGAATTCAAGTATGTTTAAGTTGTAGTGGAGATGCTGAGAAAACTCAGCATCTCCACTACAACTTAAACATACTTGAATTCACAAAACTCAGCATCTCTATTACAACTAAATGTGTCATTAAATACATGTACTACTTCTTAATGATTAAAACATTTTTTACATAAAACATTAAATCAGAAACAAGGAATTGTAGATAATTCTACTGATCACATGTATTTAATTTCATAACATTTCTTAGCTGAATAATAACCTCAGAAAAATATAATTAGTTTTTACTCGCTAGCTGTCTTTTTCAAAAATTAAAAATAGCATTGTCTAATGACAGTCAAGAAAGGTATCTGGACTTATCCAGTAGCATAAGCTATAAATATTATGTTTGCTTTTATCAACGTTAGATCTTCATTTGCCTCAGAAAAAACACCTTGTAATATATAACAATCAAAAATCAATTTTAATAAATATACATTCACTCAATAACAAAAGGATTCATTCAAATTCTAGGCTGCTTTATATATAACAAACACTATGTCTCATACCATAACCACACAACCAACTCAAAATATATTCCATAACTTTTCCATATCGGACCTGGCTCCTAGATCTGAAAATATTCGTCAAGGCCTGGTTTAATGTGACTCGACTAAGTAAGATTCAGTTTGATGACCTTTCTTCCAGAATTCCATCTTTGAGAAATCCCATTTAAGGTCTGTGCAAATCTGTTTAGAAGTTCTCCTTTTTAAACTCAATACTCGGTTATCCAACAGAACTCTGTCTATAGTTCTGGATTTGGAAAGTACTTTTGTTGTTAAGAAAGATATACACTCAGCTTATCCTGCTTCAGAGAGCAATTGTATCTTGGATTTGGCCATATCAACTGCCAAGAACTAATAACTACCCACACTTGTCCTCTTGTAATGTATCTTTTTGGCAGAAGGAAACAATAAAGTATGCATTCCAGGGTCAAAATTACAGTATACAGAAGCAGAATTTACTTGACAAAACAATGACAATTATATCCACTGTTGAGTAAATTATGTTGGCTCTTGGTACATACTTTGCTGATGGGATAAATAATGATGCACTAGTTACTCATCAAATATTCCAAAATGGTGTTGAAAAACCTAGGTACAACCACATGACATGACTGTTGTAGATAGTGCAACTTAATTATAATAATTATATCCACTGTTGAGTAAATTATGTTGGCTCTTGGTACATACTTTGCTGATGGGATAAATAATGATGCACCAGTTACTCATCAAATATTCCAAAATGGTGTTGAAAAACCTAGGTACAACCACATGACTGGCTGTTGTAGATAGTGCAACTTAATTATAATAATTATATCCTGTTGAGTAAATTATGTTGGCTCTTGGTACATACTTTGCTGATGGGATAAATAATGATGCACTAGTTACTCATCAAATATTCCAAAATGGTGTTGAAAACATAGGTACAACCACGACTGGCTGTTGTAGATAGTGCAACTTAATTATAATAATTATAAATAATTATATCCACTGTTGAGTAAATTATGTTGGCTCTTGGTACATACTTTGCTGATGGGAGAAATAATGATGCACCAATATTCCAAAATGGTGTTGAAAACTTAGAGACAACCACATGACTGGCTGTTGTAGATAGTGCACGTAGGACTTCATGGAGCCTGTTTCAAAAAATGTCATTCTGTCTACAAGAGGGATGTAACCAGCATCCTACACATGAACTCTAAGCTTATCACAAAAGCACTTTGCATGGAAGAAGTAATAAATGTGGTCACACAGAACACTTAGTTAGTAAACAGAGTAGTTACCAACTTTCAGATTCGTTTTATATGGAATTGCATAAAAATGTCAATGCTATTTTTATATTCTATCAGTCTGCTCTCACACAAAATAATTTAGCTGATTACATTGTCATACAATGCATACTTGATATGGTGAAACAACCAAGCATCCTCTAACAAACTGCTAAGTCGAGGTTTAGCAAGAAAAAAAGTCAATGTGGAAAATGACTGAACTTTTTCTTGTAGGTGAAATAGCTATAAATTTCACCCTTCTATAACTAATATAAAATATATCTTTATACATAGTTTTTGTAAATTTTTATGCAAGTTTTCTGTATGTAGTTATGACTGGGTGTGAAAAGGTCATAACAATGTGCTAAATCCTTTTACTTAAGTAAAGTTACATATGTCAACAGCTAGAATCTTGTGTCCACTTCCAGGAGAGAGAGAGAACCCATCACAAGATGTAACACAGATATTTGGACAAATTGGCATGAATTGAGGGTTTTCTTCTCCGTATATTTTATTTGGAATAGTCAGTCAGCTTGGGGTTGTAGGATACTACACTTGTCTCCTTTGTCTGAGTTGAAAGTGTAATAAATTACAATCCTTTTCGTCCTTATCCTGTGGTCAAGTGTATAGAAAGCCTTTCCAACTAGTTTAAGCACAAACAATTAATAAGCTAGCCAGTAAGTAAAAACATACACAAACGTAGTTACTGTGAATAAAATTTTGATTTATATGTTCATCTGTTTTTCCTGAATTTATGTTACTGCAGTACTTTCTACTATCTGGTGGATATCCATCTGATTATCACATTTCCAGTTATTAAAAGAATGGCCACCATGGTCACTAATACTGGACATATATCAGTTGCAATAAGTGGTATCATAAATGAAAGAATATCTGAGGATGGACTGTATGATGTTTGAAAAAATGTTCAAAAGCTTTTTCTGCTACTGCAAAATCATATGCATTTCAAGCTCACTAAAACAGACATCACATGATTAATTACATGGTCACAAATAGGAAAACACTTACTATCACATAAAAACCATTTGCTATATAACAGATGTTTTTTTTTAATTATGTATGATATTTGTGGCAAAGACACTTCAGTTCATGTCCATCTCACATTTTCAGTCTTTACAGTAAACAAATAGTATTTTGTATTATATGTCAAAGCTACTACAGCTATCTGCCACCACACCTAACTTTGAACTAATAACACAGGGAAAGCAATCAGCAGCATACAAACATACACACTAAGAGATTGTTTCTCATATTTTAATGCACCCACAGCTTAAAAGTGTGGTAATATTTTGTGGTGTTACATATATTTGTATCCAGCTTTCACTGAAAACACTGGGAGACTTTAATAAATTTGGTACACAAACACTCAAGTCAATCAAACTTATTTGAAAATACAGGAGGGTTGATTAATGAACTTTCCAATTTGATGTATTGATTAACCAATTTAAGAGTATGTATTTAAGTTCAATATAAGTACTTTCATATTTTACTCAACACATAACAGCACATAATTTATGTACTACATTGTGGTCTCTGATTATTATTTATTAATTCTTTCAGCACAGACTCGGTCCCTGGGACTGACCTCGTAACCATTTTGTGCTCGTTATAGTTTTCATGCTATAACTTTTAAATTAGTTAGTATATGTTAACGAAATTTGGAAGATAATCAGTAAACATTACAATGCTTTCATATCCAAAATATCATTTTTTTTTATTAAGTCTTAAAGTTTATTAAACAATGTTTTTCTCATACCTTTTATTTTTCTTTTCATGTTGTCTACCCAATATGCAAAGTAATTTTCATTTTAAGATTAAAAATACTTTTATGCATCAAAAATTTTCAAATTTCACATGCAAAATCTTTATGATGTCTAGCTAGTTATCAAATGTTTCTTGTAAAAAAAAAAAAAACTTTATATTTTATCTGTTATTTTAACTAACGAATCTCTATACGGGTTTGGTAGATTTGACTGATCTTGTAATCACCATAAAAAATTAGTAAATAAATATAAATTATGCCTCTTTCCATTCTAGAATGACTACAAATTGTATCATGAAAATATAAATGTTTAGTCTAAATAGCTCAAATCTCATAACATTATACATTTATATATATATTATTTTGAACTTTCAGCCGTGCCTGGCTAACATTACAGAAGTTGAATGATGTGGCATACCCAAGAATATAAAACTGGCATTTACAAAGTGATCTGTCTTGGCTGTGTTTTAGTAAACAAGTATTTTGTAAAATACAGTCACATTTCAGTTATAATACATTATATATGCATATACATTATTACTACTTACAAATAAATTCTTAAACTTATTTTTCTTAAAACACAGAAAAGTGAATAAACAATTAAAGCAAACAATTATCTCTTCTAGTTACGACCTTTGTACTTAGTTGCTGCTTGATGTAGGTTGCTAAGCCATTAAAATATGAAACTAAGTAATTTTTTTGGGTTTTATATACATATATATATATATATATATATATATATATATATATATATA